GGGGGCGGCCCGCGCTCCCAGGCCGCCGAATAGGGCGCCGGAGTGGGCCGTGGAGCGCCAGACTTGTAGGCGAGGAGGGGTGCTACCCTTTTGGAGTGGCGCTGCTGCTTGATGTTGTAAAGGAAACAGAACCCGACCACAGCTGAAAGACGACCGGCGTCCTGGTCTTTTTCGTGTGTTTCCTCGCTTTCGGTTCGCCGGGAGTTGTAGGGGGAGAGTTCGAAGAGGACTCCCCTCTGAAGTCCCGAGTGGTGCAGCCCGTCACATCCCCTTATTTTGCCGCCTACCTAGAAGGAGCCCTGAATACACATGTAAAAAGAGGCGATACCTTTATAGACCACTCCAAAATTCATCGTGCAAGTCACAAGCTTTCGTGGATTAAAACTCCAGTTCATCAGGTTTGCACCGGTGTGAAGAACTGAAAGTCCAAGCGTTCATGCCGTGATGGATTTTGCCAGGCACTTTGCTCTTGGATGTACAGTAAAGTCCAAAAGGTTCTTGGCGAGGTGAAATAGCCAGGCGTGTCTCTCTCAGATGTTAAGTCCCGAGGCTGTTTGATGGTTACAACTTAGGCATTTATGGCCTGAGTTGGAACTATATTTATGTATGTGCTGGTATGTATGGTGGATACATATGTTGGTACTTGCTACCTTCTATTTTGGTACTTGCTACCTTCTATCCCCAGTTGCAAACTCACCAGTGTTAAGGTGACGGAGCAGGAACTGGTGGTAGGAGAGGTGGGGTGGCTACTAACATCTCTCCCATTCTCAGAGCACCCTTTGGGCAACAGTAGATTTGAACACCAAGACACTGAAGCTGCTTATTCGGATGTAAGACCCAATTAATATTTGCAAGCAAATACAGTATGAGTAGGATTCAGCTGTACAAACTGATATAATGTTACTCCTTAACTGTAGGCTTGAGCCTTTAAGTTTCCAGTGAAAAATTTCCTTGCAGTCCTTAATTTCTTTTAGTGGTCTTCAACAAGCCACTCTTTGATTGACAGTGATGGTTTGAATTTCTGGATTGCATGTCATGGCTAATTGCCCTCACAGTGCAGAAAAGGATTTGAAGTGCCTAGAAAGATGGCATAAAACTAGCTAAACGCCATCCAATAAATACAGAAACTGATGGCTAGCTCAGAGATTTAGGTCTCTGGGGCTGGGAGTTCAATTCCCCATTGTGCCTCCTTAAGAGGGCCTGGACTCGATGATCCATAGGGTCCCTTCCAGCTTTGCAGCTCAAAGGTTATTATTATTAATTTCAAAACCATTGGTTAAAACTAGCAATGGCTACAAATAATTATAGTGCAGCATATAATTAACATATAATTATTCTGGTCCATGGTATTTTAATCACCTAAAACTCAGTACTGATGAGGCTGGAAGTTGTAACCCACAAGCATTCCATGGGTCATTCCTGTCTTCTTGGGTTCCTGCTCCCACTGCTGTTTTACACCATCTAAAGCCCAGTGATTCTGTTTGGAAACCTGGTGTGCAGGAAGTGCTTTGTTTCACATTGAAGTTCATTCACAGTGGGCTATCTGGGTTTAAATGGAAAAACAACACTTGCATTCCCCATGCACCGTGTTTCTCAGGTATCTAGGAATTCTTTTGGCCATTTGAAGAGGAAATTGCAGCAGTAGAAGGGTGCCACTTCAGATCTGAGGAACAGCAATGCAGTCACACTAGCCCAAGGAGGCCCATCCCTGCTCCTTCCTTGGGAGAAAGTTCCAACAACATTGGGTCAAGAGTTTAAAAAATACCTGTCTCTTGTAGCCATCCAAGTTGATTGATTGCAATGCAATCCTCAGCAAATCTCATGAGAAGGAAATCCCACTGAATTAAATACAGAAATAAATGTGTATAGTTGAACCCTTAAACTGATTCAGAGACTTTAAACTATTAATTGCTTAAATATTTGTTTTCTCACGTTTCCCTTTTAGTCACTCAAAATCTTAGACTATGAACTATTGGAGTAATTGGTTCTCTGGAGTGTTCTAGAAGCATTGCCTAGCATCTAGGGAACTGTTATGTTTACTTTATATTCTGTTGAGTCATGTCATATTAAGCAAAATTATTAGTTTAACTGGTAAGGTCCTAAACTGATGCCTACATACAGTTTAAACAGCTAAACTCTATAGATGTGAAGTTAAAACAAAGCAAATGTGCAGTGCAATATGATGCAGAGTTAAGCAAATAAGTTTTGAGCAACTTTGAGCATTTGCACCATACTCAAAACAGTGAGATTCGGTTCTGCTCATAAAATATAATCAACACGTTGAAATCAGTTCTTTTTTAGGTTGCCTTAGACAGGGTGGAATCATGCAGTCACTTCCCAAGAACGAAGAAAATGCAAAGTTCAAAAAGTTCTGTTCTGAACATATAGTGAAATAAACCATGATCTACACTGCAACATCATTTAATAAAGGGGATTGTTGTTCTTATGTGCTTTCAACTATAATGACTTTAATGGGGGTTTCAAGGTAAGTGAGGGGCAGCCAGATGAGCATATAGCTTACTATTTCGTTCACTTTGCTGTTTGGTTTGCCCTAATTTTCAAATGACCACATTAGTTTTAAGTAAGAACAATCCATCTCATCCCTTTTACAAGCTGTTCCATTCCTTTCTGGCACAGCGCCAGGACTGCAGTTTATATGGTGCAATTGGAAATGCTTCTAATTATCCTGTTCTGCAGTCTGTATGGTTGCTTAATTCACTCTGAAATAGAGCTGTGGGCAGTGCTCACTTCAGTGACAAACCTGTGATGGATGGGAGAGTAGAAAGGATGGTGGAGAAACCCTCTCCTCTATTTTCATCTTCTCACCATTTCTTTTTTTAAAAAATCTCCTATGTGATGCAGTGCTATTTCAGATATAAACGGGTATCCATGCTAGGCTGATGCATTGCTGTAGCACTGTGCCACTTACTAAATTAAACAACAAAAAAGGGAAGTCACCTTGGCCCGTGGAATAACAACTATGACAAAAGGTCAGGAAAGGGGGAGGAAACATCTCCCATGTGCATGGAAGGATCACTTAAGCGTGAGATAAAATCAATTGAATTGAAGATAACACCCTTTTTAATGTGACCCAAATTGTTCCAGTTTCCCTCATCTAGTTGTACCCTGAAATATTTAAGGAGTGTTTTTACCAGTTCCACATGATCAGTGAGTTTCCATGGATGAGCCGCAATTTGAACACAGCTCTTCTGACTTCTAAGTTCTATCAATCTGCTACAGCATTGGTACCCAACCTTGGGCCTCCAGATGTTCGAGTGTTTTTACCAGTTCCACATGATCAGTGAGTTTCCATGGATGAGCCGCAATTTGAACACAGCTCTTCTGACTTTTAAGTCCATCACTCTACCTGCTACAGCACAATAGCTAGTGAAGGGGATACAGGCCCCATAAACAATTGTTTGTCTGGATGGCATTTATAATTATGTAATACTAAGTGATGTTAGTGTTACATCTTCCCCACTTCTGTGACTGGTGATGAGTATGCCTATAGGTCCAAATCAATTTGTCACTAGCTAGTGAAGAGGATACAGGCCCCATAAACAATTGTTTGTCTGGATGGCATTTATAATTATGTAATACTAAGTGATGTTAGTGTTACATCTTCCCCACTTCTGTGACTGGTGATGAGTATGCCTATAGGTCCAAATCAATTTGTTCTGGGTGAGAGTGCATGGTTTTTGAAACGCTAGGTTTATGGAATCACTGAGCTATAATTGCTATGTATGGATGTAGAAGCTGGACAATGAAGAAAGCTGACAGGAAATCAATTGGAAATAAAAGTGTTGGAGGAGAGTTTTATGGATCCTATGAACTGACAGAATGATTGACTAAAGACAGACAGAGACTTGAATTTGTAAGACCTGAGCTGGGCACTTTATGACAGGATTTTCTGGAGATCTCTAATTCATAAGGTTGCGATGACCAACTTTACAGCACATAACAATGGCTGGTATGAGATTCTTGGAAAAGCAAAAACTACATTCTGCATCTCCAAGTTGCTCTCTGTTTCCATCTTTTTGTTACTTTCGGTTGAGTTAAAGGGCCCGTCCAAACGGGAATTCAGAGTGGTCTGGTTTGCACTTAAAAGGTTCGTATCTCCAGTGCAATCTATTTTATCTCTCACTTGAGCAATACTTCCATTTACACTGGAGATGTTTATTCTCCTGTGAGAACAATCCACACATCTTTGAATTGCTAGTTTATTCACAAGTAAGTTTACCTAGTTTATTGGGAGATAACCAAGCTATCTACAACAAAACAGCACACATATTAGAGTTGTTACTTCAGTGAGAATTTATGTACTGAAGGAAAAGGAGTTTTCCAGAAAACAATCCACACGTCTTTGAATTGCTAGTTTACTCACAAGTAAGTTTACCTAGTTTATTCATGAGTAAGGAGGCAGCAGTGGTGGTGCTGCCGCTAGGGGAAAACATTGGGCTGAAGATTGGGGAGATGGGAGGTAACTCTCCTTTTTCCCCCTCAGCCAGGGCTCTGCTGGGGCTGCACTGCCTTGTGGAGATGCAGCTGTTGGAGTTGACATAGCTATTTTCCCCACATTTTCTTGCATCTGTCATTCAGCCAGCCACAGCAACCTTCCTTTTTTGTTTGTTTATTAAATAAAATTACATCACAGGATGCCGTCCACAGCAGTTGGGTGCGAACTAGCCATCTGCACATTCCTCACAATGGGATAATTAGGAGCGCATTGAATCATAACCTCTTAAAAAACAACAACAGAAGTCCCTAGTCCTGTACCAAAAAAACAAAACCAAGACAGCTCTTAAAGAGGTAAGATGGGTTGACCTAAATAGATTGTCGTGTGGATGATACAATTTGCTTCAAACCAAACTGTACCAACAGCAATCCAAATATCAGTCTATATACCCATCTGGACAGGCCCTAATGTATGTTTTTTTTAAATCTGTTACCTGTGGTCATCTGGAGAGGTGCCGCTTTCCTCAAATTCAACTTAGGAGTCTCTTGCTACTAATGGGTTGTTCTGGACGATCAACGATCACCAGGGAACAGAAATAATGTCATGTTTTGTTCCTGTACAGAGGACAGAATGAGCTCTGACTCTGTAGACCTAGCAAAAGATAAAAAAACCAATTTCTCCACCATTTTATTGGGAGATAACCAAGCTATCTACACCAAAACAGCACACATATTAGAGTTGTTATTTCAGTGAGAATTTAAGTACTGAAGGAAAAGGAGTTTTCCAGAAAAAGATCTTTTAGCACTAAACGAGGAGCTATTGCTTTTTCATTTTTTTTCTACACTGGCCCTACTACCTGCTCCTGATAATGCAGTTTAAGCATATATTTCACTTCCAGCTCTGCAGTTCTAACATAAGAAATATTAATTCCATGTTTTACATTGTCATTAAACAAATATCTCCTGTTAAATCTGACTGCTTCCTTTCTTTTGCCACATTACTGTATGCTGTAACACAGAGGTAAACGCTGAAGTGCTAACCATAGAAAATAAAACTGAATGGCTACATTGTATATTTATTAGATACCCATTTCATTTTAAAAATGAATCACATTCACTGTGCTGAGTTTATATAGGTTTAATATATGCATCTAATACATACTGTTGAAAGAGGGTTATTCCTAAGCAGGTGCACATAGGCCTGCAGCATTAACTGTTCACCTAATAAAGTTTATAATCGTCACCCCATATATACCAGAGCATAATCATAAATGAATATTTTAATGCAATTTCAAAATCAAATATCTCAGTCTGATTATGGATGGGTGTCATAATTACATACTCAGTGTAGTGTATTGAATAGAGTAACAGACTCTGGAAACCAGGGTTCAAATCCTCACTTGGCCATAGGGGAATGAAACTGAGATAACTATTCCTTACCTTGAAAGTCTTATTAGGGTTACTATAAATCAGCTCGGACAGAAGGGCACATAACATACATGGTTTTCTGCTAGACTGGGTAGTTCACTAAATTCAGTATGAAACAATTTATTATTTCATAATAGTAACAGACTCTGGAAACCAGGGTTCAAATCCTCACTTGGCCATAGGGGAATGAAACTGAGATAACTATTCCTTACCTTGAAAGTCTTATTAGGGTTACTATAAATCAGCTCGGACAGAAGGGCACATAACATACATGGTTTTCTGCTAGACTGGGTAGTTCACTAAATTCAGTATGAAACAATTTATTATTTCATAATAGCTTTTATACTCTTCACTAAATTCAGTACTGTATGAAACAATTTATTATTTCATAATAGCTTTTATACTAGAATCATATGCATATCTTATACAAAAGAACTATTGTATTTTGTGATGATTGTGCACAGGATTACATCCTACTTTGTTGAACTTTTGAATTTACAGTGTGGTATCTTAAGTTGGTTTACACTGTAATACTGTTCAGTAAGGAACAGGAAGCAACAGTTAGAACTGGATATGGAACAACTGATTGGTTCAAAATTGGGAAAGGAGTACGACAAGGCTATATATTGTCTCCCTGCTTATTTAACTTATATGCAGAATACATCATGCGAAAGGCCAGACTGGAGGAATCCCAAGACGGAATTAAGATTGCCGGAAGAAATATTAACAACCTCCGATATGCAGATGATACCACTCTGATGGCAGAAAGTGAGGAGGAATTAAGGAACCTTGTAATGAGGGTGAAAGAGGAGAGTGCAAAAAACAGTCTGAAGCTCAACATCAAAAAACTAAGATCATGGCCACTGGCCCCATCACCTCCTGGCAAATAGAAGGGGAAGATATGGAGGCAGTGACAGATTTTACTTTCTTGGGCTCCATGAACACTGCAGATCGAGACAGCAGCCACGAAATTAAAAGACGCCTGCTTCTTGGGAGGAGAGTAATGAGAAATCTAGACAGCAGCTTAAAAAGCAGAGACCTCTCCTTGTCCAAAGACATGGTTTTTCCGGTAGCGATGTATGGAAGTGAGAGCTGGACCATAAAGAAAGCTGACCGCCGAAGAATTGATGCCTTTGAATTGTGGTGCTGGAGGAGGCTCTTGAGAGTCCCCTGGACTGCAAGGAGAACAAACCTATCAATTCTAAAGGAAATCAACCCTGAGTGCTCACTGGAAGGACAGATCCTGAAGCTGAGGCTCCATCTTTGGCCATCTCATGAGAAGACTCCCTGGAAAAGACCCTGATTTTGGGAAAGTGTGAAGGCAAGAGGAGAAGGGGATGACGGAGGACAAGATGGATGGACAGTGTCATTGAAGCTACCAGAATGAATTTGACACAACTCCGGGAGGCAGTGGAAGACAGGAGGGCCTGG